AAGCATAAGGTGGACATTGATATGAATGAGATTGGGTGGAAATATATAGAAGCTGCCTCGTATGGGCCAATAGGACTTCTGCAGTTGCCTTTATTCTAATGTTCAGCTCACCTGCTATGCTGCCAGATGTACGATTCTGCAAAATTAGCGGTATAACATTTGGGTTGCTGTTATACTATTGCACTAATTACCGAATAATAATTACAGTTGTGGATGACTAAAATGTATATTCTTAAACCTTTGGTTAGGTTAGGTGGGGGATGGATAGTATAGTCATTTTTGAATAATAACATTAAATACACATGCCAGTAGGACGCTAAAGGCCGCATTGGTTATCTGGTGACGTTACACATAGTTGACCAGTCAGGTGCTGTGATACCTTGACACTTATATGCTAATAACTAGCAATACCTTATCCCTGTACCTGAGGTCGCTTTTAGGGACGTCGCTAAACAACAACAACAACAACTGGTCTGTAGAATGTATTTGTTTGATATATAATAAGTTAGGTTAGGATGGTTTGATCGGGTTTATGAATATAAAAAAATATGAGCAATGAGCGAAAATACGAGCCATTGTAGCTGAATATCAACTCTGATGAAGCACAGAGTACAGTTTAGGTATTAAGCCTGATGAAGAGTTCACACTTATGTGTGAACCTCCTAGGGTCCGCATTTAGCACGTTGGCTCCGCGCGCCGCATTAAGGATGATGACGTTAGAGAAGAAGGCCTTATTTCAAAACATGAGTGGCTTGCTTTTACTGAATGTAGTATTTCTATATATGTACACTGAATGAGTATTTTGATTTGTTATATGCTACAGTAAGGTGTGGGGGAGGTATGTTCTTGAGAGAATGTGAGATGTGCATATATATTTATGCGTTATGAAGCTATATTTGATTAGTACTGAAATCTCATTGAAGTCACCAAGCCTGGCAGGGGACTGTTTTCATACTAATGAATGATAGTGGGTTTTCATTTTTATTTGCCCTATGCTCAATAAGCATTCCTTGAAAAAAAGATTGACAAAGCTTAAATTGCATTATCTACAAAGGCGAAGAAGAAATAGGGGAAACATGGCTAAAGGGATATTAATGGGTTATTAATACTGTAAACACGAAACAATGGACATAAATTGGAATAAGTTTTTGATTTAGGAAAATGATCTGGGTAAATACTGATTCTGTAACAAGGTTGAACTCATTTCTTATGTTAATATGAAATCTCGCCTATAAAATGTTCTTAGACAATGGGAAACAGAATGGTAATACCTTATTGAGAAAAACGAGCTTATAATGGTTAGCGTCATTGCACATTAGGTTTGACAGAAGGCATCATTTGAATCCCCCTTTTCTATAAATATTGAAAATGGCAATAAATACACTATAACAGAAAACGGACTTATTCTGGGAAGATGAAGACTGGGTGACGTCATTGCCCATTAGCGATGTCTGTGCATGGGTCACCGGGGTAACGAAAAACGAGTATGCCAGAACGCTGCAGATAAAAAAAGCAAAATTGCAGCGTTCTGGCATACTCTCACACACCAGCCCCCTCCCCCCCCCCCACGTGGACGCTCACACACCAGCCCCCTCCCCCCGTGGACGCTCACACACCAGCCCCCTCCCCCCCCACGTGGACGCTCACACACCAGCCCCCCCCCCCACGTGGACGCTCACACACCAGCCCCCTCCCCCCCCCACGTGGACGCTCACACACCAGCCCCCCCCCCCCCACGCGGGCGCTCACGAACGCGCTCCTCGCGGGAAGAAAGACCAACGACCTCCAGGACCACACCACACCAATGTTTACACTACGCTTCCTAGAGTTAGTAGCGGACAAGGCTGCCTACCACCGAGCTCTAGAGGTAAATTATGATCTAAACCCCGCCACATCGAACAGTTAACCCAGCACTTGGTGTGATGGCGTTGGTCTCTTCTCTCCAACACACTCTTCCCCAATCTCTTTTTTTCCTTCTCTTTTCTCCCTCGCACTCTCTCCTACTCCAAATTGACTCGGGAAGCTCGTTAACGCTTACCTACCTGGCTGGTAAAACTCCCGGAAACAATAGTTCGCTTTGTGTGGGTTCGATATCCAGTACCGTAACGAGGGAATGCCTTGAGTAAAGCTGTGATTCCCTAACATCTGCTCTTGGAATAATGCCATCTCAGTTAAATTAAACAAAAATTGTTTGAAAGGTAAAATATTTTATTTTTAAATATTTTAAAGGTTCAGCAAAAGTTAAACTACAACTGTGCTACTACTGTACTCTCTGACTGAAAATAAATTGTGTAGCAGTTTTCATAGTAAATATGCACTAATGTCATTGATATGAAATAAACAATGCCAATGAATTAGGTAAAAAATGGGTATTTTTTTCAACATTGACCATAAAATAACAAACTGGCCTAAAATACTTAATGCAAATAAAACAAGATTAGAAATATTATTGTAAATACTGTACATGAATGTTAAATTTTCAGCATGAATAGCAATAATTATGATAAATCAGTTATTTGAGTTAGATGTAATATGCAACAAACTTAATCAAGCATTTGTATTATTGTAAAAATGAGAGGACAATAATAACTTGGTCTCCCTTATCCTATTACGGTACAGGCCACTTGTAGTCCCATCCTCAAGGGGAGGAGATGGTCTCCTTATGGTCTGGTCAACTCTGGTACCTACAGTACTGCCTCTCTGGACAATACGCTGCCTCTCTGGACTATACGCTGCCTCTCTGGACTATACACTGCCTCTCTTGACAATACGCTGCCTCTCTTGACAATACGCTGCCTCTCTGGACTATACGCCTCCTCTCTGGTCAATACGCTGCCTGTTTGGAGTATATGCTGCCTCTCTGGTCAATACGCTGCCTCTCTGGACTATACCCTGCCTCTTTGGTCAATACGCTGCCTCTCTGGTCAATACGCTGCCTCTCTGGTCAATACGCTGCCTGTCTGGACTATATGCTGCCTCTCTGGACAATACGCTGCCTCTCTGGACTATACCCTGCCTCTCTGGTCAATACGCTGCCTCTCTGGTCAATACGCTGCCTCTCTGGACAATATGCTGCTTCTCTGGACTATACCCTGCCTCTGGTCAATACACTGCCTCTCTGGTCAATACGCTTGCTCTCTGGACTATACCCTGCCTCTCTGGTCAATACGCTGCCTCTCTGGTGAATACGCTGCCTCTCTGGACAATACACTGCTTCTCTGGACTATACCCTGCCTGTGGTCAATACGCTGCCTCTTTGGTCAATACGCTGCCTGTCTGGACTATACACTGCCTCTCTGGTCAATACGCTGCCTCTCTGGTCAATTCGCTGCCTCTCTAGTCAATACGCTGCCTCTCTGGTCAATACGCTGCCTCTCTCGACAATACGCTGCTTCTCTGGACTATACCCTGCCTCTGGTCAATACACTGCCTCTCTGGTCAATACGCTGCCTCTCTGGACTATACCCTGCCTCTCTGGACTATACCCTGCCTCTCTGGCCAATACGCTGCCTCTCTGGTCAATACGCTGCCTCTCTGGACAATACGCTGCTTCTCTGGACTATACCCTGCCTCTGGTCAATACACTGCCTCTCTGGTCAATACGCTGCCTCTCTGGACTATACCCTGCCTCTCTGGACTATACCCTGCCTCTCTGGACTATACCCTGCCTCTCTGGACTATACCCTGCCTCTCTGGTCAATACGCTGCCTCTCTGGTCAATACGCTGCCTCTCTGGACAATACGCTGCTTCTCTGGACGATACCCTGCCTCTGGTCAATACACTGCCTCTCTGGTCAATACGCTGCCTCTCTGGACTATACCCTGCCTCTCTGGACTATACCCTGCCTCTCTGGTCAATACGCTGCCTCTTTGGACAATACACTGCTTCTCTGGACTATACCCTGCCTCTAGTCAATACGCTGCCTCTCTGGTCAATACGCTGCCAGTCTGGACTATACACTGCCTCTCTGGTCAATACGCTGCCTCTCTGGACAATACACTGCCTCTCTGGTCAATACGCTGCCTCTCTGGTCAATACGCTGCCTCTCTGGTCAATACGCTGCCTCTCTGGTCAATACACTGCCTCTCTGGTCAATACGCTGCCTCTCTGGTCAATACCCTGAATCTGTGGTCAATACGCTGCCTCTCTGGACAATACGCTGCCACCACAATGACACTCGACACTTCCTAGTGTAAACAAACGCGTTTTATAAACTGATCATCACACTATGTGTCTCTCATGTAGCTCGCAAGAGAATGCGATCTAAATATTTACAATAACAAATAAATTGGAATTATATTTTACATAAATTACATATAGGTCATAACAAGCTCGTTACGTTACGACGAAGAGGTTAGTCAGACTCGACTCTATCGCATCACCTCCCTCCGCACCTGGTGGCAGATTCACGAAGCAGTTACGCAAGTTCTTACGAACGTGTACATCTTTTCTCAATCTTTGATGGCTTGGTTTACAATTATTAGACAGTTTTGGAGCTCTGAATCACCAGGAGGCTGTTTATAATAATAACAACAGTTGATTGGGAAGTTTTCATGCTTGTAAACTGTTTAATAAATGTAAACAAAGCCGCCAAAGATTGAGAAAAGATGTACAGGTTCGTAAGTACTTGCTTAGCAGCTTCGTGAGTCTGGTCCCTGGTGGCAGGCGGCTGCCAGGGGGAGCCAAGGACGCCATGACCAGACCTAAACTACTTGAATTCTAAATCCCCCGGAGGCTATGAAGCGATAACTCTTGTAAAAACTAATTTAATTTACAAGTCTCGCAAAAAAAGTTAAATTCTCTTGTGCAAGTGTTTCTAGTTTAATCAGAAATGCTTCAGTAATTAAAGCTGCAGTATAGTTTCTCTATACCGTTGCTTGCTCGGCTAAACTTACAAGCACTCATTTGGCCAACATTCTGCTAAATTACCCTAGACACCCTATCAGGGCACTCGGCTCCTCCGACGTTATTTTTGTCTTCTTTTAAGGAAAGTCATAACCTTTCCCGTTGGTTGAGCAGCTGGCTCTCGAGCGTTAGCAGCTGGCTCTCGAGCGTTAGCCGCTGGCTCTCGAGCGCTAGCAGCTGGCTCTCGAGCGTTAGCAGCTGGCTCTCGAGCGCTAGCAGCTGGCTCTCGAGCACTAGCAGCTGGCTCTCGAGTGCTAGCAGCTGGCTCTCGAGCGCTAGCAGCTGGCTCTCGAGGGCAAGCAGCTGGCTCTCGAGCACTAGCAGCTGGCTCTCGAGCACTAGAAGCTGGCTCTCGAGCGCTAGTAGAGGCTTCACAATCTTAAGTGAGAGTCATAAGTCCGCCGTGAACTCCGGGGTGAAAGTTGAGGTTCCTTCACAACGTCTCTAAATGTGAAACGTCTTCCACCATCGCACATTAGACGAAGTGGAAGGTGCCGTGTCGGGAGCACAAGGCATCGATCCTCGGGAAGCACCTCCTTACCCGCTGATCGTCTGGTGCTTGACCCCCTTAACAACATGCTCGAGAAAGCGTTGCCGACCACAATAGGGTGAAAGTGTACCAAGGTGACATCTATACTCACGGATAAGTCCACCTTTGTAATCGATGGCAATCATTATTTTATATGTTGACCAGACCACACACTAGAAGGTGAAGGGACGACGACGATTCGGTCCGTCCTGGACTTGAGAATGGTCCAGGATGGACCGAAACGTCGTCGTCCCTTTACCTTCTAGTGTGTGGTTTGGTCAACATACTTCAGCCACGTTATTGTGACTCATCGCCTGCATTATTTTATACGGTACCTCATATGTTTTCAAGTCTCGTCAGGCCAATATTAAGCTTTGTCTCAAAAACGGACGATCGAAGATATTTTTTATGGATTTAAAACTTAAAACAGGTAACTCTTAGTCACAGACAATCTGAGATTAGTTTTGTTTAAATTAGAATATGTATTTCACACAAGGGCACGAGCCCGGACGAGTTTACCGGCAGTTATACTGTCCAGGACGAACCGAAATGTTAGTCATATTTAATTTGTAATATTAATGTTTACTAGAGTTATCCACTCTTATTTTCTTCAGTAATAATTCAGTTAAAGCAAAACAACGCTGGGTTGGGTCAGGTTGACAGGGAGTACAATCACCTACTTCTTGGAAATTATATGAAATTTGAGAGTATGGAGGTTCAACTTTCTAGTTTCAACAATTTAAAATATTAACAAAACACGTAGAATCAAATCCATCTTTTCGTGTTGCGGTGTGTGACTTTTCTCTCCTTGTACAATACGTGTGTGCTTTTTATGGTCTATCTGTTTCCTAGAGGAACAACTTGAATTATTACGTATTTACTGAAATAAGTACATTCAACATTAGTGGAATAACTTTTTCCATAGGTGCTCCACGCCTATTTTTGTTTCACTTTTAAAATATTTTTATCACTTTCCATGCCCAATTGTTATTGTTTAGTAAATTGAAGGGAAAATTAGCTTCGGAAAGGCAAACGAAGGATGTGTAGATTTATCAAAGATGTGTCTTACGATGGTATAAGCTTGTGACTGAAGGGAACTCTCATTACAAGTTTGTAATCATGTACTAATCTGATTACATGCTCGCTCTTGTCTAATACAATATCTCCATGCTTGTGGGTTTGTACGACAAACGGCACAAACTTGCAATTTTGTCGTACAATCACTAGAAGCTCCTGACTGAATTGCAATCACTACAAGCTTATTATTGGGTAGTAAAGTCACCACAAGCTCCAGATTGTCAAGTACATACACTACAAGTTCTTGACTATACTATATTTGGAGAATACGAATGACACGATGTGTGGAAATACTGTAACATTCCACATGGCAGTGGTGGCAAAGCTGTTTAATTATAGCGATATGGTAATGACCCTGTATCGAGTGGAAATTGATAGTTATCTTGCAGTCATCGCCAACTGGCAGTCTGCTTCATTAGTTCCTATAATTTAGTTTTCTTGTGTAGCTGGGAAGACTGTGAATAAGAGCTTGTTTGCCTCTGGACACTAAACAAAAAGTCACGTTGCTGTTAACACTATAAACAAATGGTTTTGTTGCGAGAAATCTGATACACAATTCGCTACATTGCTGGAAATTAACACAAAAATGTAGATCTCTGCTAAGAACAAAATAAACAAGCTAATACTCGTCTAAGAACACTATAAACAAGCTAATACTCGTCTAAGAACACTATAAACAAGTGCTTTCGTTGACGCGAATTCTGTAAACATTTTGTTGTTGTGCTTTGAGCACTACAAGCAAGTGTTTGGACGGGTGGACAGAGGACGTAAGACCCGGCACTTTAAGGGATGAGGATGTTATATATTCTCTCAGAAGAACGAGAGTGTGTAGCTGGGAGGGAAGGACATGTTTTAAGTTGATAATAAATGAGATCACTTTCATTTATTGAAATAAAATATTTAAACTGAAAGAAAATACGTGACAATAAGAGTGGCCGATAAATCCTGCCAGAAGGACAAAATAGAGTATTTTGTAACAAAAACCAAAGTTCTAGCTCTTTAAGAAAAGAAACCCTGTTTTGTTGAAAGGTCTACACTTTCTTGTCATACCTGATTCTCAAGCATATGAGTATATGTAGGAGTCTTGAGTTAGGATAACAGACTCTGAATATTTATTAAAGGAATTAAATAAATAACTATAAAAAATAGAGGTTATTCTTTCAACTTTTATACTTATCCTTTTGACCGTTCTAAACTAATCTATATCTGTTTCTGGGTAATTCTTTCCCAGGGGATGGGTGGTCAGGTGCCAGTGGTGGCCTCCACCCTCCCTTTGTGTCTTTTATCTTAGTCTGGTGTTGACAACGACCTTGATCGGCCGAAACGTTCATCTCCCTTCCCATTTCACTGTGGATTTTCCGCACCCCCATCTTCCCCACACACACATTATATATATATATATATATATATATATATATATATATATATATATATATATATATATATATATATATATGCGAACAAGCCTGAATGGTCCCCAGGACAATATGCAACTGAAAACTCACACCCCAGAAGTGACTCGAACCCATACTCCCATCGAACCCAGTTGCGTTGCTCCTGGGAGTATGGGTTCGAGTCACTTCTGGGGTGTGAGTTTTCAGTTATATATATATATATATATATATATATATATATATATATATATATATATATATATATATATATATATATATATATATATATATATATATATATATATGTGAACAAGCCTGAATGGTACCCAGGACTATATGCAACTGAAAACTCACACCCCAGAAGTGACTCGTTTTCAGTTTATATATATATATATATATATATATATATATATATATATATATATATATATATTTATATATATATATATATATATTTATATATATATATATATATATATATATATATATATATATATAGAAAATCACTCGGTCTATTAATGGGCAAATGGGGCCTTGCATAGTAGGCCGAGAAGTGCGTTCTGGCCACTAAATACGACATATATATATATATATATATATATATATATATATATATATATATATATATATATATATATATATATATATATATATATATATATATATATATATATATATATATATATATATATATATATATATATATATATATATATATATATATATATATATATATATATATATATATATATATATATATATATATATGAATGAAAACTCACACCCCAGAAGTGACTCGAACCCATACTCCCAGAAGCAACGCAACTGGTAACTACAGGGCGCCTTAATCCGCTTGACCATCACGGCCGTCAAAAGGAAGTGATAGCCGAGGCTATTTGAGCCACTTCCCCGACGGCAACTCGGATGGTAATCTTGGGCATAGCATTTCACCAAATCACCTCATTCTTTGGGGCACACGTGAGGAACACAAATGCAAACAAGCCTGAATGGTCCCCAGGACTATATGCGAATGAAAACTCACACCCCAGAAGTGACTCGAACCCATACTCCCAGAAGCAACGCAACTGGTAACTACAGGGCGCCTTAATCCGCTTGACCATCACGGCCGTCAAAAGGAAGTGATAGCCGAGGCTATTTGAGCCACTTCCCCGACGGCAACTCGGATGGTAATCTTGGGCATAGCATTTCACCAAATCACCTCATTCTTTGGGGCACACGTGAGGAACACAAATGCAAACAAGCCTGAATGGTCCCCAGGACTATATGCGAATGAAAACTCACACCCCAGAAGTGACTCGAACCCATACTCCCAGAAGCAACGCAACTGGTAACTACAGGGCGCCTTAATCCGCTTGACCATCACGGCCATCAAAAGGAAGTGATAGCCGAGGCTATTTGAGCCACTTCCCCGACGGCAACTTGGATGGTAATCTTGGGCATAGCATTTCACCAAATCACCTCATTCAGGACCATTCAGGCTTGTTTGCATTTGTGTTCCTCACGTGTGCCCCAAAGAATGAGGTGATTTGGTGAAATGCTATGCCCAAGATTACCATCCGAGTTGCCGTCGGGGAAGTGGCTCAAATAGCCTCGGCTATCACTTCCTTTTGACGGCCGTGATGGTCAAGCGGATTAAGGCGCCCTGTAGTTACCAGTTGCGTTGCTTCTGGGAGTATGGGTTCGAGTCACTTCTGGGGTGTGAGTTTTCATTCGCATATAGTCCTGGGGACCATTCAGGCTTGTTTGCATATATATATATATATATATATATATATATATATATATATATATATATATATATATATATATATATATATATTGTGACGGTAACGCGTTGGTGTTCAGCTGTTTCAAAAGCTAGGGGGTATGGCCTCGTCACATATAGAAACAAAAAAAGAGAAAATTTGGTACTTCGTCTGTGGTAAGGTAATAGGAAGACACACAAAACACAAGTAAATTTAACAATGAGATTTTAATTACGTTAAGAAAGCAAAACATGAATAAAATGGATATACAAATGGTAACATAAAATCAATCAATCAAAATAATAAGAATAATCAATGGCAAAATGTAAAGTTACGTTAAGACAAGTGAGTAATAACAAGTGTATAATAAACAATGCAAAATATGGGTGCAGGAATATTGGCTTTAAGCTGCCACCTCTCTTAATACACGTAAGCCAGAGCTTAGTCTGCCAACGAGACGTGTTAACTTGTTGAAAGCACTGGATATTCTGAGGTCCGTAGGTCGTGGTGGCCCCAGACATCAACTAGTGTGGTGGGTAGGGAGCAGGTGCGACTGACCACCAGGCAATCAGCGATGAGCAGGAGACAGACAGGTAGTTTGGTGGTTCGAGTTGGAGCAGGAGTTCCTGGTGCTGAATACGTTTGCTCTCTGGCAAACCTTGGAGTTGTATTTGTTGGGTATTTCTTCCATATTAGTTGTATTGGGATGTATAGCGACAAACTTAGGAGGGAAGAGCAGGCTCAATCTCTCTTGAAGGAGATTATCGTCACAATATATATATATATATATATATATATATATATATATATATATATATATATATATATATATATACACTGGTACCTCGGAATGCGATTGTCCCTGTATGCGAGGTTTTCGGAAGGCGAGGTGTATTTACTCCAAAAATT